ATATTTGTCTTAAAATTCAAGGCCACAAAAACAATGTTTGGGGGAAAAAAAAAGAAAAAATCATGCCAGCTAATCATGTCAAGTTCACTGCCTGTCAGATTGTTGATATATACCTTCTGTAAATAACTTTTTTTGAGAAGGAAATAAAATCAGCTGGAACTGAACCCTAAATCTTGACTTTTGTCATTATTGTGCTCAGTGCCTAAGATTGGAAGGGCCCTACGGTATCTAGACACTACACAATCTGCCTTAGCTTTGAAAAAAATAAGTTCTCAGAGGAGGCTTATCAAATGCCACCTTACTGAGGAATATTAAATGTCTCTTGGCCAGATTTCTCCTGACCCTGAAATGATGGCAGCAGATGAATGTGTGTCCACTCTACACACGCTTTCTAGGAATTTTCTGAGTTTACCATATTTTAAAACACCCTTTGTCTTGGAATCTGAAAAAGAGGGGGAGGGCAACGTGGACAGAGTTCTTCACAGATGAAACTGGCTAGCTGATCTTTTTATGAACTTAGTACTCCCGGAGCTGCTTTCTCTTCGATTTGCCCATGCTTCCCTCTAGCAATGGCTAGAATTGGTTTCCATGAGCTAAGGACAAATAAGCTGTTAAAATTGTCAGTAGATTATAGAGGAGAAGGCTTTCACCAGTTATCAAATGGAAAAGGTGTATGCCTTTTTTCTTCCTCAAGCAGAAGTGTTGCTGTGGTGCTAAAATCTCCATTTTCTGCCATGCCCAACAATGTGACAGAACTGCAGCAATAAGGATGACCTGGAGAAGCTGGCTCCCTGTGGGCTCAGAGGAAAGTCCCCCTCTCAAAACAGCACTGATTTTGGCTGCTGGAGATTTATGTTTTTTCTAAGAATCAGGCAGGATTACTGAGACTATGCAAGAAAAGTACTTAGATTTCCTAAGACCCATTACTACTCCGTTTGGAACAGACAACTTGCTAAGTGCCACTATTTCCTGTTTATTTTGAGAGTTAACCATTGCTATTAACTAACAAAAGCCATCTTTACTTCCAAATGTCTGTTAATTTAAAAAGTGTCTTTTACATGTTTTGAGTCTTTCAGCACTGGAGAGGAGGGGTTAATAAGCAGGAGTGTTTGGAAATCGTCCCTTATTCATTTGGATTGCTTGTAGATAAGGGAGTATTCCTCATCCTGGAAGGTACACCTGGAAAACGATCTTTGAAGGGGTTTTGTGGTTGTGAATTGAAAAGCAATAATCCACCCCCTAAAACCAATACAACTTTTGTTTCAGTATAACTCATCTCTTAAAGACAGATACCGGTTTTCAACATTTTTTTTCATGTATGGTGCTCATTTATTTAGTTTTGATTACATTTAGGTTCTGCAGTTAGAATTCTACTTTATAAAATGACTACAACAACATGGCATCTTAAGTTTCTTCCAAGATCTTTGTAAAAGAAAGAACTCTTCTTTAGAAAAGTGCTTTTAAGTTTAATTTTCATTGCAGTGATATGATTGTTTAGCTTTTTTCAGGTCTAAGATATCAATACCATGACTAAATGAAGTCGAAATGATGCATTTTTTAAATGATACTTTTGAAATATTTTTTAATTTCAGGTTTCTCCTGCTAGAACTGTTTCTTTTCCCTTGACTCTCCATGTAAAAGCAGATGCTTTAAATATTTCATTTAAGAATTTTGATAGCATTGTTTTAAAAATAAAAGCTGAAATGTGTGTGTCCTTCCTGGCAGGTAGTAAACATAAGAAGCATTTTCATACAATGTCTTTCCTCTAAGTCAGCTTTCATTCCTAAGGGATACTTAGTGTTAGGTGCTACAGGCATAATAAACCTGAGAAACCAAACAGTTTAGCATGATTTTTTTCTTACAGATAATTTGGTTCAATAGAAAAGAGTAAGTTTCAGATTTTCTTTTAAGAAGATCAAACTTCTAGCCCAGTGCTCCATCAGAAATGTGAATCAGTGACAAAAGCAAGTTTTGTCAGTTCCTAGATGAATCCCTTTAAATGCCAAGAAAAAAAGTAAAAAGCATGTAAGCTGAGAGTGTGGGCCCAGCACCTGGAAAGGCTTTTGGGGTTTGTGTTTACCCTGCTCTTGGGGGTACTAGGGAAGCTAAGGGAGGAGCTAAGGGATTCTGAGGAAAGCAAGAAAGCAAAGGGTTAAATGGACATCACCATTTACCCAGGGTTTCTTGTGTTTGTAGGGTATACGCAAATTGGAAGACATGGTCTGGGGAATGCTATGGGTCAGAATGCTTAATCATAAATCTAAAACACGTTTAGGGATCCCAAGAAAGTATTTGAGAAGACACAAATGGTTTAAAAAAGAATTTTAAGAATACAAAACCTGTTGACCCATTTGGATTTCTCAGAGTGTAAGGCTGGTATGCTTTATTTCTCTTCCTGGTGGTTTTTTGTTTTGTGCCTCCCCTGGTACCCCTCCTTTAAGGCCTACAAAATACCTCTCTAACCCATATTCACTAGGGCTTACCCCTACCACCCTGTTTCATTCTGGACAATGATATCTCCATATGCATTTCTCTTTTTTTGAGACAGAGTTTCGCTCTTGTTGCCCAGGCTGGAGTGCAATGGCATGATCTCGGCTCACCGCAACCTCCTCCTACCAGTTTCAAGCGATTCTGCAGCCCTCAGCCTCCTGAGTAGCTGGGATTTACAGGCATGCGCCACCACGCCCTGTTAATTTTGTATGTTTAGTAGAGACAGGGTTTCTCCATGTTGGGCAGGCTGGACTCGAACCCCTGACCTCAGGTGATCTGCCTGCCTCGGCCTCCCAAAAAGCTGAGATTACAGGCGTGAGCCACCATGCCCCGCTCCATATGCATTACTCGATTTTCACCATTATTTCAAAGCTAAAGTGGAGGGGTGGGAAGAAAGCATCTCCAGGCATCTGCATGGTGTTTCAGGCTCCGCCAAGTATCTTCCGCCATCCTCTTTGCCCAGGATAAAGTGCAGAATTTACATGCTGCTCTTCAAGGCCCAGCACAAAAGGGTTTTAGCCCACCTTTCCAGTTCCTCCAAATTGCAATATAACCAAACTGCTCTTTCCTGAAAGACTGGAATTCTTGAAGGACAGGAACTAGGCATCGGACACTTCTTGTATTCCCCAATTTGCTTTCCCTGCTTCTTTTCACATCATAAACGCTAAATTCTTATTTGTTGACTTAACATTTACATTGTTTCCATGGGGCCCTAAGAGCTTCCAACGTGCATTTGCATTTTATGCTGCCTATGGTAAATACCAGCGTTGGATTTCCTGAAAACCTGGGTTAGAATGCTGCCTCTGAGACCAATAAGATGGAGGACCTTGGACAGATTTCTCAGCCTCGGTAGTTTTCCATGTTTTAAAGTGTTATATAGAAAGAGCTATCTGATGTAGACCGCTGTCGTGAGAACAGAGTGAAGTGGCACGTGTGGGATGTGTCGTAGTCCCTGCCTACCACACGGGCCCCTGGAGTGCTAGATCCTGACCTCATGGGTAGTTTTAAAAAGCTAATGTGGCCAGACGCGGTGGCTGACGCCTGTAATCCCAATATTTTGGGAGGCTGAGGCAGGCGGATCAGGAGATCGAGACCATCCTGGCCAACATGGTAAAACCCTGTCTCTACCAAAATACAAAAATTAGTTGGGTGTGGTGGCGTGTACCTATAATCCCAGCTACCCAGGAGACTGAGGCAGGAGACTGGTTTGAACCTGGGAGGCAGAGGTTGCAGTGTGCCAAAATCATGCCACTGCACTCCAGTCTGGCAACAGAGCTCGAGTCCATCTCAGAAAGAGAAAAAAAAAAAAAAAGTAAAGCCTAACACAGTGGCAGCAACATAGAAGTGCTTTAAATTCGAAAAATGAATCTGAATCAATGCTTCTCACTCTGCTACATGAATCCCCAGGATCAGAATTACCTGGAGAGTCTTGTTAAGGTTAGCGATTAAACAGATCGCCAGCCACAGTCAGACTGTAGGGATGGGGCCTTAATGAGCCCCCCATAGATTTCCAGTGCTCACTGAAATTGGGCAATCAGTACCCTCACTGTATTTTAGTGTATTCTCCCAATAAGTATGCAGGCAAGGGATTATGACGTCCTCATTGTTTTAACACGGAAAAATTGAGTTGAGAATGGCCCAGTGACTGATCTGAGGTCACAAGGTCAGAAGTGCCAGAAAGGGTATTGGAACTCTATCTCCTGAGCCCTAGAATCAGCCAGAACTTATTTCTCTAAGTAGATGTCTTCTCCGTTTTTACCCACGGCTTGGTCCCGTAGCAGAAATGAGCAGTCCCTGTACTTCCCTCAGCCCTCTGACTCCCTGTCCATTTTCCCAAGGGTGCTCTCCCACCCTCCTAGTTGAAAGTGTAAGTTTAGGCCAGGTGTGGTGGTGGTTCACACCTCTGATCCCAGCATTTTGGGAGGCTGAGGCTGGTGGATCACCTGAGCTCAGGAGTTCGAGACAAGCCTGACCAACATGGTGAACTCTTGTCTCCACTAAAAATACAAAAAAATTAGCCAAGTGTAGTGACACATGCCTGTAATCTCAGCCTCTCAGGAGGCCAAGGCAGGAGAATCGTTCGAACCTGGGAGGCAGAAGTTGCAGTGAGCCTGGGAGGCGGAGGTTGCAGTGAGCTGAGATTGCGCCATTGTACTCCAGCCTGGGTGACAAGAGTGAAAATCCATCTAAAAAAAAAAAAAAATATATATATATATATATATATAGTGTAAGTTTAAGTAATTAGCCAAGTTAATACATATATATTCCAGTTAAACAAATGTGTGCTAAAAGATGAACCCAGGGACTAATTTTTGGAAGAAGAAGCATCCGAGGCAGAGGAGAGCAGAAATGATAGAAATATAGTGCCTGGAATGTCTGGTTTGTTCTTTAAAAGGCAGAGCTTCCTGCAAGTGAGAAAATTGGAAATTATTCAGAGCGCCCTCAGCCTTTATAGAGAGGGCTATCGTCTACCCACTATATCCTAATGAGATTGACTGACCGTTGGCTACAGTTAACTTAAGGGTTTTATGGTTTCCTGCAAGTGTTGTTTTCCTTCTCTATGTTAAAAAGAAGAAGAAGAAGAAAGAAAAAAAAACTCTCACATCACTAAACGGTATTTCCCAGGGGGCTGTGTGACGAGGCTGCTGCATTTTGGTTTGGGCCTTGGCTAACAATGCATCTCTATGTGTGTATGTCTGTGGACACAGGTGATAATAAATTTAGCCCATTTTACCTTCTTCCGACAGTTTCAATTCAGGACAGTTGGTTTATGGAGTACCGCCCAACAAGCCAGGCCTAAGTCATGTCATGGCAAGAAGTTTCTTGTAGGGCCTTCCTTTACCCTGCAGATTTTTAGTTTAAGGACAAAGTTGTAAGTCATTTGTGCACCGATACACACAGCTGTTTTGCATCATACATAAGACATTCTGAGGGTATTCCATTTGAGTGTTTTTTTAAAAGGGTAGGACATTAACAAACAAAATATCATTTACTTAACCTACTTGCTTCTTTAGATATTTTCCCAAATACATAATTCTTTGGAATAGTTTTTAAACACATAATGAATGTGCTATTTCCTTACAACATGCAGTTGAAAGGCAACAGACAAGTGAAAACACTGTCTATTATCCTTTGTAGATCGGCTCTCTCTAGGCAGTGAATGCCCAGCAGTGCAGGGCGATGGCTGGCTAATGCGTGCGATGCATGTAACTGCTTTTACAAGAGCGAAGCAGAAGGGTTCTGTTCAATGATCAGTTAGCTCTGGTTGTCTGTGTGGTTAATTGTTACTTTCTTTGCTACCAGCCCCACCCTGACTTCCTCAGCTCAACACCTTAAGCCTGTGAAAATAGTCTCTTCTGGAAGCCCTGACCTTCAGCCTCTGCGCCTGCTTTCTCCCGTCCCATCCCCATGCTTTCTATGTGGGCCTTTCATCTCTCCTGTTTGCCAATCCCTCTCAGGCTTTGAATAATTTATCAGAAGTTCCTGGGAAATTGTGGGGCTGTCTGCAGTCTCAGAAAAGACTGTACTTTGTTCCTTCCCCAGGCCGAGGTAGGTCCAAAAGCCTGTCTTTGAAAGAGGTGGTGCTAAATTCATTGGGAAATTTGCTAACACGTTTTTTTGTTTTGTTTTGTTTTGTTTGTGTGTGATTTGTTTTTTTGAGACAGAGTCTTGCTCTGTCACCAGGTTGGAGTGCAATGACACGATCTTGGCTCACTGCAATCTCCGCCTCCTGGGTTCAAGTGATTCTCTGCCTCAGCCTCCCGAGTAGCTGAAACTACAAGTGCGTGCAACCACACCCGGCTAATTTTTGTATTTTTTCAGTAGAGACAGTGTTTCACCGTGTTGGCCAGGATGGTCTCAATCTCTTGACCTCGTGATCTGCCTGCCTCGGCCTCCCAAAGTGCTGGCATTACAGGCATGAGCACTGCGCCTGGCCACAGTTTTGATTTTTTGGATGAGCACCCAATGAGTCCAAAAGATGGAAGAAAAAAATAATACGGGGAAAAAGATGAAGGTGAAGAGTACTTTGCAATTCCTGTATCTCCCAAAGAATGTCAAGTAAATTAGGGGAACACTGATGAAGATTTCCAGTTCTTGTTGTTGTAACAATGGATGTTTATATATAAGATGTTTATATATGTCTTTTCAAACATGGGAGAGTTTTCCTTGAGTAGTTACTAGAAGTGGAAAGTTGCTGGGTCTTCGTCTTACAGACATAGGCTTTTGACAGTTTTCATAGCCAGGAGCTGGTTAGGTATAAAGTGGTTTGAGGAGAGAAAAACTAGTGACATGTCTTTTTAACATGGGTTAAACATTAAACCAAACTTTGAAACAATCATTTTAACCTCAGAGAAGGTGAATAGATTATTTTAGTATGTAAGTAAATCTGCAAATCATACTGAGATGATGTTTCTATCCCAAGTGTCTGATAACATGAATAGAAAAGAGAACAATTACAGAAATAGCCTTGACACTGACATGGTGACAAAGTATGGGGATTTTAGCACCACCGAAATAAACAGGAGAACAGAGATCAGCTCTCTTCGGTCGTGTTCTTCTTCCAGTGGAACTCATCAGGCTGATTCCCATTTCTGCATTACCAGCCTTACTTTTTTTTTTTTTTTGCTGGGCTCTGTGATGGCAAGGAATGGAATCACTCAAGTAATGTGAAATCTTGGGGCTTTATTACCAAAAAGCACAAGGCTACAAGGGAACTGAAAATATCATTGTAGTTCTGGGAGAAATAGCATTTAGGATCCATGGCAGCTCTAGAGAACAGGGTAAGCGGTTGCCAATTTAGCATCAAAACTGTGCAGATAATTAATATTGCTCAGGTAGTCTTAGTTTTCCTGTGTGTGCTGATTTTCTCTCAATACCAAATCTTGCTTCTGTTCTCCTTTTCTTTTTTTTTGAGACGGAGTCTGACACTGTCGCCCAGGCTGGAGTGCAGTGGCGCGACCTCAGCTCACTGCAACCTCCGCCGCCCAGCTTCAAGGATTCTCCTGCCTCAGCCTCCTGAGTAGCTCGGATTACCAGCACCCATCACCACATCTAGTTAATTTTTTGCATTTTTAGTAGAGACAGGGTTTCGCCATTGGCCAGGCTGATCTTGAACTCCTGATCTCATGATTCACCTGCCTTGGCCTCCCAAAGTGCTGGGATTATAGGCGTGAACCACCATGCCTGGCCCTGTTTTCCATATTTTGTCCTTCATATTCCGTTTTAAGACAGCTCTGGGATGGGCACAGTGCCTATAATCCCACCACTTTGGGAGGCCTAGGTGGGTGGATCACTTGAGGTCAGGGGTTCAAGACCAGCGAGACCAGGGGTTCAAGACCAGCCAGGCCAACATGGAGAAACCCCATGTCTATTAAAAATACAAAAATTAACTGGGCATGGTGGCGTGCGCCTGTAATCCCAGCTACTCGGGAGGCTGAGGCAGAAGAATCATGAAGCTGGGAGATGGAGGTTTCAGTGAGCCGAGACCATACCACTGCATTCCGGACTGGCAACAGACCAAGACTTCATCTCAAAAAAAAAAAAAGACAGCTCTGCATGCCCAGTTATTTCATCAATCACTTGCCAAGTAATGAACTGGCTGCTCTGGGGTTATGTGCCTATTTTGGACAAATCACTTAATTGATTATATTCTTCACTTTCCTATCCTCTTTGTTTTGCTTGTGTTCCTAGGGTCTGATGGCCCTCATACTTCCACTTGTATTTTTTCTTTGGCCTTCATATGCTAAGGGAGGGTAAACCCAAGGTTCATGGAACACCCACCCTTTCTCCTCTGCCATCCACAATATCCTCATGTCAATCAGACTGGCTTTGCTTTTATCTATTTAAGATACTAGGCTGGGCATGGTGGCTCACGCCTGTAATCCCAGCACTTTGGGAGGCTGAGGTGGGCGGATCTGCTGAGGTCGGGAGTTCGAGACCAACCTGACAAACAGGGAGAAACCCCATCTCTACTAAAAATACAAAATTAGCTGGGTGTCGTAGCACATGCCTGTAATCCCAGCTACTCCGGAGGCTGAGGCAGGAGAATAGTTTGAACCCTGGAGGCGGAGGTTGTGGTGAGCCAAGCTCTTGGCATTGCACTTCAGTCTGGGCAACAAGAGCGAAACTCCATCTCAAAAAAAAAAAAAAAGATACTAACCTTTTCCCTATAGCTCAAATGTTGGCACTCAGGCCTAGAGGTATAAACAGCAAGGATTGAGTATACCACATTCTAAAGGGAGGCCAGGTTGAAGCCCTTGTCGCAATAATCCAGAGCAGAAGGGCCCTAACACGGTCAACATTCCCCTTCTCAACACGGCTCCTCCAGTCCAAATAAGCACAGGATTGGAAAAGGAGAAGAGAATTGAGCAGTCCTGAAACATCCTCGAGGGGAGCCTAGTGCTTCTCGCCCGGCTCCAGAACCAAGTGACAGGAAAGTTCCAAAGGGTTCTCCAGCAGAACAATTCATAGAGAGCGGGGTGTCTACAGGAAGAGGCTGGCATTTTATCTATGGTTAGTCCATCATCTGCTTAACCACCTGAGTAGTTCTGCCAGAGAGAGGTGAGGTCGGGCATGTGGAGGCGGGCTGCAGGGGATTGCTATCAGCTTTCTACCATTCGACACAGCAAGGATATGTGTCTTCATGAGTCAGGTACATCGAAGTAGGAACTGAAGAGCAAGGAAGTTGTGGGGAGTGTTGTGGGGAGTGGGAATTAGAGTGGTAAGGAAGAATTCAGGCTGGAGTTCTCCAAGGCAGAATAGATTTGGAGAGGACAGAAGGACCCGGCTATGTGCTCTCAGGAAAAGCGGCATTTGGATGCCCATCTCACAAAAGGCCATCAATGACCAGTGGATGTTAGCTGAAGAGTCAGCTCACAGCTGCAGCCACCAGCCTCCAGTGATGACCAGTTACGTGGAGGGTTACTTGTGTTTTTCCCTGTCCCGCATCCTTCCCACACACAGGAGGAGCTAGGCTTTGAAGTAAGAGGGGAGACAGGACCGTTCTACTCCAAGGAACTCAAGTTGACTCGGAAGTAGAAGAGATTGATTTACTTACTTATTTAGAGACGGGGCCTCTCTCTGATGCCGAGGCTGGAATGCAGTGGCATGATCACAGCTCACTACAGCCTCAACTTCTCGAACTCAGTTGATCCTTCCACCTCATCCTCCGAAGTAGCTGGGACTACAGGTGTGTGTACTTGACTAACATTTGTCTTTTTTGTATAGAAGATGTCTTGCCATGTTGCCCAGGCTGGTCTCAAACTCCTGAGCTCAAGCAGTCCTCCCACCTGGGCCTCCCAAAATGTTGGGATTACAGGTATGAGCCATTGCACCTGGTGAGATGAGATTTAAGACAGGTTTGAGGGTAAATTTTAAAACTGGATTAACATTTAAAAAAATAATTGAAAGAGACCAGAAACTTACACGCACATACCACAAGGTTAAAAGGTATTCTTTCATTTTGTTTTGTTTTCTTTCGTCTCATACGTGATGCTGATCATATAACTCTATATACCACTGTTGGAACTGGGATAGCAAAGAATAAAGAGGTCCCTGGAGAACCTCTGCCTGGCCTGCCCACTAGGAGCACAGGTGGAGCCTAGAGAGGTCTGCACCATTTGCAGAGGGGGAGGAGCCTGGCCTCTCCCGTTCTCTGGTGGTTACCTGGAATTCAGTCTGTGAGATGGGGGCCTGTTCATCTCTCTCGCTTTGCTGAGTTTTTTTTTCTTTTTGCCCAATACGTTCCCCTTTACTCACCCTTCAAAGCGTCTGTGAGCCTAATCTTTCTTGGTCGTGTGACAAGGAACCTGTTTTTAGCTGAACTAAGGAGGGAGTCCTACAACAGAACATCCCTGTGACTAACTGGCAAAAGACAGCTGGGGACAGGTTTATGTCTGCTTTGTGGGAGTCCAATCTTACCTAGTCATTACAGAGACCAAGATACACCACCTTTCTCTCTCCCTTAGACAGGTATCTCCGAGAAAATCCAC